TACAACAATACATACATACATACATACATACATACATACATACATACATATATACATATTATGCATACAGTACACATGAGCACATATATGTAATATATTATGCATACAGTACACATAAGCACATATAGGTACAGCTTTGAACATTGAAGCATCCAGACCCCTACTACTACTTACATCTCGTGCCTCAAAGGCTAAGCTACCCGTCGTCACAAGCTTCCCGAACCTCCGACAATCACATCCAGCATAGTCCTGAATCCCACTTTACACTTTGTACCCTGGCCTTCCCCAAAGAGAACATGTTATTTCAACCCTATTGCGAATGCCCAATAATTAGAGAGAGAGAGAGAGAGAGAGAGTCTAAACCCTGAAGCAAGCAAGCAATCCAATGAATATGCGCAGCTGTTTCTACATAGGCATATGTGTATGTGCTATATGTAAACGCAGGTATACAAATATGAAACAACCAACCAAGAAATCAGTGTATATCTGCATATGCATATACAGCTGTTTTCATGTATCTAGAACCGTAACGTATGGAGAGTCTAGGCCCCAAAAACCAGTAAGTTGGCCCCTAAACCCTGAACCCCTAAACCCTAAAACCCTAAAGAACACCCTAAACCCTAAACCCAAACCCCTAAAGGAACCTTCCCAAGTCCCTGAAGGAACCCGAAAGCAGAGGTCCCGGCCGTAGAAGCCTCACTCGAGGATCTCTAGGGAGACGAGGCAGGAGGACTCCTGGAGGTGCCAGGCCTCACCTTTTATGGTTTTAGGGTTTTAGGGCTTTAGGGTTTAGGGCTTTAGGGTTTAGGGCTTTATAGGGCTTTAGGGTTTAGGGGCTTTAGGGGTTAGGGTTTAGGGTTTAGGGGTTTAGGGGTTTAGGGTCTAGGGCTCTAGAGCTGGGAGTTTATGGTTTAAGGTTTGGGCTTTAAGGATTAGGGCTTCATGTAGCAAAGGTGTATGTTTAGGGCTTTGGGGCTTACGGTTTATCTTGACCCTTACATGTAGTACCTTTTTTTTGGATGACCTATTGTATGGCCAGGATCAATGAGAAACTAAGATAACCCAAAAAAGGTACTACATTTAAGGACCTAGGTATGTTTTAAGGTTTAGGCTTTAAGGTTTCGGGTTTCATGTAGTAAAGGTGTCAAGGAAAATTACTAGCTAGATGGTCAGGGCCCACAAAGTAACCCGAGCCCTCAAAGGAACCCCATTCTAAGCACGCTTTGCAGGAGTCCTTGTTGAAGGGACCTTTTTAGGGGAAATTACAGGGCTTAAGGTTTACCTCTGCCTTTCTGAGATGCCCTAAACCCTAAACCCTAAACTGTTCTTTGTTTATCTTGGCTGACATCTGACCCTTCCCGGAAAGCTCCGCCTCTTTTCGCCTGTAAACTACCAGTAGCCTCCATTGTAGTTCTAGCTTGAAGTGCAGCTGTTGGACTCTGCCTCTGGCAGAACAGAGAAGTAAAGATTGACACCATCTCAATAATGCTGCTGCCTGGTTTGGAGACTAAGAAATCAACCAGTCTTGGGTTCAGCACAATGTTGACAACACCGTCATCATGGTGACAATCATCCTTATCCTCATGACCATCCCCATCATCAGCATCATTATCAGCATCATCATCAGCAGCATCATCGGGAAGATGACCGTCATCATCAGCATCATCATGGTCATGATCGTCATCATGGCTGCTCCGGGATTCGGTCTGGGATCTTCTGTTATGCTCGGAGTCCTCGAAGTCCTTCTCCTCCAGACCTCGCAAAGCCTTCATCGCCTCCTGCACAACAGTAGTGATCAGTGGCCATACCTCATATGGCGATGCTTGCACAGTCTGATCCAACATGCCTTGCCAAGACGCTGCGTCAAATCAACAAGCTGGCCTTCAATAGCGATGGCTGGTGAGCGAGAAATTCTTGCAAAGCCTCGCACGGAAAGCGCCGTTTGAGGTTCATGAATTAAAGGGCTCAGGCTTTGTACACATGGACAACTCTTTCGAGCGGCTGGTCCACGTAGACTCGGGTTTGAGGCTCAGGTCTTAGAGCTTTCACTATTGCGAAGAGATCTGACAGGGACAACTTGAACAGTCACATCGAGGATCGGCACCGACCCACTAACTTGACCATGAGTTTGGGTATTATTCTTATTGTTAGCTATAAGGATGATGTATGCCTTCATAATACTATGTCTATATTGCTACTGCCAGTCTTACTATTATTGATATTATGCTTGCTATTGCCTTACTACTACTGCTACTCCAAGGCGACCGCTGCGATAAAACCTCGCGTATCATCGAGACAAAAGATCCGAAGTCTTGATTGCTTGATATGGGGTGCGGGGAGCTGTGGGGCTGTTGATCATTAGACTCCTGAGCGATTGCTCTTGGTACAACTGGTCAGACAGTCGCGTACTACAGATTGGTCCGAAAGGGATCATTAGACTCGCGGTCTGGGTTATACGATTTTAAATATACTGGTATAAGGATCATAAGTAACGACCCGAAGGAATAGTCCGTTTAATGCTAATGAAAATTTCTAGGAAAGCTGCTCGCAACGACGCCAGTCTGCACCATCTGATGTCTTGACAGTCGTTCCACGAGTGAGGTATTCTGTTGAAGGCAAAGCTGAAGCTGTGGAATGGAAAACTGCTTGATGGCTATACTGCTCTCTTCGTCTACAGTAGAAGCTAAGCTTGGGCGCAAGTTTCACACAATGCAGCCGGCCTCCCGCCATGGAATTCCACCGTTCAAATCCTGGACAGGGCTTCCGCTTCTGGGCCGGAATTAAGTTAGGCTTCAACGCCGGATCCGGATTAGACGGAGGCACCAGACCCGGCTCCTTAAAGCTACACCCTAAATCCGAAACGCCCTAAATCTCGAAACCCTAAACCCCATCACCGCAAACCCCAATCCCTACGCTGCAGCGTGAAAGAATGCTCCTTGTCTGCATAGAGGAGAATCCCACTCTTCGGTGTCAACCTGCCAGGATGTCGAGTTTGGGGTTTCGGGGTTTTAGAGTTTCGAATATGGGGGTTTCAGGGTTTAGGATTCAGAAATAGCTCTGGGGATTTTTAGGGTTTAGGGTTTAGGGTGTTTACCGGCCCTACCTGGACCCCAAAAGTATGTAAAATGACAGCCTTTTGTGGATCTTGGGCCATTAGTTTACCTACTTTGGGGGCTTTGGGTAGGGCTTTGCGAGTTTAGAATTGGGGGGGTTTCAGGGTTTAGGATTCAGAAATAGCTGTGGGGATTCTATAGAGTTTGGTTTTAGGGATTACGGCTCAGGTTTCATGGCTGAGGGTTTACCCATGGGCTCCATTGTGGCTCCTTTTTGGGACTACCTTACAGGATCCGAAATTAAGGAACCCAAAGAAAGGAATCGGCATGGAGCATATGGGTCCCCTCCCACACCCTAAACCCTAAGCCAAAACCCTAAACCAAAAC